TTTATTATTCTTCACACACGGTTAACGTCGGCGGGCGCGTATCGCATTACTCTGGCGGCCGTCGACCGAGTATGTCACCTGAGACGATGATAGTACGGCTCGCGTGAACTTCGCTGTGCTCGTGTAATATCTTGCGCGATAATTATAATGACGATTCCGAACGACACGTAATGTTTGATTGATTCCCGACTCTGACTATTCCGCCTTGTATAGCTGGTTATATGGTCTGATCGATGCCCGGTCAGCATTCCGATCGATTGCGTCGATCGGTTGCGTGATATTGATCAATCAATATCACGCTCGATTTGATCATCAAATTTAGGAATTTGTTGATCAGCTTTTTCGCAATGTTCTCGCGATGCATTTCTTCGGTCTTTCGAAAGACTGGTCGCGATTTCGGCGATCACACATTTGTGTCATCTTTCGAAAGACTTTTCGAGGCTCGTGCAACCTAATTTTGTTGCCATGCGGACTACTTTTATTATTGGTTGTAGGCCTGGCTACAACAGCAAATAAATTTTAATAAAATTTTAATAACATTTAAAAAGTCTCTCTTCAGCTAGAATAATGGTTGAACGATCATTAGGTCTATTAAAAGATCATTTTAGAAGTATTTTAAACATTTCCTATAAAAAGAACAAACTTAATACCAAAATATTTTATTGTCTGTTGTATATTACACAATATTTATTTACTGAATGATGATGTAATGGACATTCCTGTTATTATTAATAAACCTAATATAGGAGAACCATAAATAATACAAGACGATGCTGCACAAAGGGAGGATAGATAAAAGAAACGCAATTATGTATTTATTGCCAAATATTTAAATAAGATACAAAAAGTACATGGTATTTTAATTTCATTTCGACATACTTTTCTTAATTAAAATTGCAATATATAAATAAAAAAATAATTGCAAGATATTGCATATATTATTCCGAAATAATATATTTTGCGTAGATAATTTTGTGGACACTATTTTGTTTTCAATTTTGTATTATTATGTAATATTTATTATTATTCTTAGGATAAGTACAAAAGTATCATATAAGTCTGTACTATGGTATAACAATAAACTATTGAAAAAATATGTAAGAAAAAAATTAACATGTACGAGGGTAGTCTGAAAAGTTTTGAGCCTAACATAGAAACAAGTATTTTTTGGTCAAATATAGTTTTATTTTTCAACATAATCTCCTTTTAAGTCGATATACTTTTCCCATCGATACTCTAACTTCTTTAACCCCTCCAAATAGTAGTTGGCATCTTGTTCCGCAAAATAGGCGTTTACGTACGCGATGATTTCCTCGTTCGATGAAAATCTCTGTTCTCCAAACGAAACTTTAAGCTTAGGAAACAGGAAAAAATCGCTGGGGGCCAGATCTGGTGAATACGGTGGGTAGTCAACTAATTCGAAGTGCAGTTCGTGAATTTTGGCTATGACGACCGAAATGTGAGCAAGTGCGTTGTCTTGATGGAACAGTACTTTCTTCTTCTTCAAATGCGGCCGTTTTTTGCAATTTCTGCCTTCAGTTTATCAAGTAATGATGCGTAATACGCTCCCGTTATTATTTTATCTTTTTCAAAATAGTCGATACACACAATTCCGTGACTATCCCAAAAAACAGTCGCCATTACCTTCCCAGTTGATGGAATCGTCTTCACTTTTTTCGGAGCAGGTTCACCCTTTGCAGTCCACTGTTTTGACTGTTCTTTTATCTCTGGAGTGTAGTGGTGGATCCAAGTTTCTACAGTTATGAATCGACGCAAAAAATCTGACTCGTTTCGCTTGAACCGCTCCAACAGGGCCTTGGAAATGTTCATTCGAATTCATTTTTAGTCCAAAGTGAGCAAGCGCGGCACCCAACGCGCGGATAGCTAGCGCATATCCAATTCTTCAGTCAATATATGACAAACGCGTTCTTTCGATATGCCTATAGCCTCTGCTATCTCTCTAACTTTGATTCGACGGTCGTCCAGTATCATTTGGTGAACATTTTCGATGTTATCAGCGGTGGTCGCAGTTTTTGGCCGTCCTGAACGCTCATCATCAACCAAACTGGTACGACCACGTTTAAATTCAGCTGCCCATCTTTTTACGGTGGCAAATGATAGGGCAGAGTCCCCGTAAACAGCGTCCAACTCGATTTTAATTTGCGCAGGAGTATTGCCTTTCAAATGTAAGAATTTAATCACGGCATGATATTCAATTTTTTCCATTTTTACAAAAACACTGACATCGATTAACACAAACGACTGTCAAACAACAACTGAGCATCCAAAATAGCTGAAATTTTCATAAAAGTCTTTCAAAGCATATACTATTGTAGTACTAAAATGGTTTTGACGAGTAACGTCATCTTCATGTTAAGGCTCAAAATTTTTCAGACTACCCTCATAAATATGTGTTAGATTGTTAGATGTGTTTAGATTGTTATATAATTCTGTTTATATGAGTATGTATTAACACTACAAAATAAATTTAATTAAGAATATTCTTCAGAAATAAAAAAATAAATATCATAACATAATGAAAAAAAATTATATTATCATTATTGACTGTTTAAACTTATACTCACAAATATACACTTTATAAAGGGGAGCGTCCCAAATGCGCACATTTTCAATCGGACATACCACTCATCAGCCGATGCCCAAGAATTTTCTAGTGAGCCACTTATCAAAAATTTTTTTATTTAATTGACCAATCGGCGTGTCCGATTGGACCTCACCTTTATGAAGTAAACATCTACTATAATATTATATTTAACTCGAAAATAATAAATACTCCAGGATTCACTGATTACAATCGGGTTAACATTATTGAATTTTGTATTAAACTTTAGTACTAGACTTTTCAAACTAAAAATAAAATCTCTAATCTCTTTAATAAAAATCAAAAATAAAATTTCTAATTTTTTTAATAAAAACAAAAAATAAAATTTCTAATCTCTTTAATAAAAAATATATAATTAATTAAAAATAAATTTTTAATAATAACAAAAAATAAAATCTTTAATTATCATGACGTGTATCATATAATGATAATATCGTCATATTGTAACTCAAATATTATGTCTAAATATTAGAACTTAAAATTTTAAACATCAAATAATATTTTTCTTTTTAACTTATAGTCTTTTCTTCGCTTAATTATTTCCTTTTTGCAACAGTCTTTCTATTAGGTTTTCTATTCTTTTGAAAGTCATTAATCTTTCTTCGTGCTGTTTGGTGATACTGTATAAGTAGTAAATAGCAATCTATTATTGCGGAAGCCTTTTTGACATGTGTGTATATGCATGTCACATGATGTGATATATAAAATAATAATAAAATATTTTCTAACGTATTTTCTAAAATAAAGTATTTTCGAAAAAAAGAATCGGTCCAATACATCTATAGTTATAATGTGTATATAGATAAATTATTTTTCATTTTATAAGAATATTAGTTACTTATCTGATATTTATCCCTTCTCCATCTGTTTCTCTTTATTTTTTTTTTCTATCTTCTATTTTTTCTTTTACTAATATATTTTATATTTACTGTTAGAAAATATAAACCTAAGATAAAATTCCTGGGACACTAAGTAACCAGCGAAGGTATCAAACTACTGGCAGGCAAGGTAAAAATCATATTAGATTTCCCACGACCTGAAACATTAATCCAACTCCGTAGATTCCTAGGCATGTTAAATTATTACTATCATCACTTGAAACAAACTGCAGCAAATCAAGCACCACTCAATGAACTATTGAAGGACAGCCAAAGAAACGACAAGAGACCAGTGCCTTGATCAACAAGATCCATAAATGCCTTTAAAGCCTGCAGAACTGAACTGGCACACGTTACAATGTTGGCACATCCTATGGAAAAAGCAATACTATTCCTCTCTATAGACGCTTCAGACTGCCATAGGAGCCTCCCTAGAGCAGGTAAATAACAATCAGCTATCGCCGATAGCATTTTTCTCGAAAAAAACTTAGCGATACGCAGAAAAAGTACAGCGCATATGATCGTGAACTACTAGAGATCTAGCATCAAGCTAAGACGCTCAATCATCATTAAAACGGACCATAAACTCCTCATATAGCGCGTTTAGGCAACGCATGGATAAAGCGTCTCCACGCCGAGCTCGACAATTGGACTTTATCGCAATTCACGATAAACATTAAGTTCATACCCGGTGGAGGAAACATCGTGCTTGATACACTATCACGCATCAACGCCATAGACATGCCAGTGATAGTCATCACGAAAGAACTAGCAACTGCACAAGCTAACGACGAACAAATGCAGCAACTCTTAAGAAACGACACAATATTGGAATTGAAAGAATTCACACTCCCCGGAACCACACTTCCATTATATTGTGATTGTTCTAGAGGAGCGATCCGGCCTTATGTTCCGGAAAAACTCAAAAAAAGAGTTTTCGACACCATACACCCAGCGGCAAAGCTACCAGCCATCAAATTAGACAAAAGTTTGTCTGGCCTGACATTAATAAAGTCGCATAGTCGCTGAGCACGGACGTGCTTACATTGCCAATGCAGCAAAATCCAGAGACATATCCCAAAAGATCCCAGTGCCGAATCAAGCTTCCACTAAACATTTAGATCTGATCGGCCCTCTACCAGAAGTAAGAGGATACAAGTATTGCTTAACGCTAATAGATCGTTTTTCTAGGTGGCTGGAAGCAATTTTACTTCCCAATATGAACGCTCAAACTGCAGTTTTGCTGCTCGCTGCAGTTTTCGTGGATAATTGGATCGCACGATTCGGCACACCTGCGGTCTTCACGAATGACCAAGGGAAACAATTTGAATCTAACGTCTTTCAGGCATTATCAAAATTCTTGGGCAGTGCGAAGACAAGAACATCTCTGTATCCACCCAGCCTCAAACGGAATAGTGGAGAGATGACACCGCACATTAAAAACCGCCATAATGTGCCACGATGACGGACGCAAATGGCTAGACATCCTACCCACAGTGATGTTGGGCCTTCGTACTTGCCTTAAGAAAGACTTAAATTGCTCTCCAGCCGAACTGGTATACGGCGCACCACTAAGAGTACCTGGAGAATTCCTAGAAAATCTGGATCCAATCGAAGACACTGAAACATTCATTATGATGTTACGCGAGCGCATTCGACAACTTTGTCCACAACCGACAACTTTATCACAGTAAACGAGCAGTCTTCAAACATCCAAACTTGGACCAGGCTACGCACATATTTGTGAAAGAAGACGGCGTCCGAAAATTCCAACAGTCATATACCAAACTCCACGCAGTAGTTCACAGGAAGGACGAACATATATGTAGTGTCAACAACCGAGTCAACCCTGTCAACGGAAAGATTAAAACCTGCGTACCTACCTAACGAGGACGATGACACTCCTGGGGGACTCCAGCAGGAACCAACGGAGAACGCAGCTGTGACAAATATGCCAAAGAAAATCTGTCATACCAAAAAAGTACACTTTGCATCCACTAGTACAAAAAACTTGTGATAATACAAATAATTCGCGCCTATGCGTACATAGTATTCAGGAGAATCGTGTAGGAACACACACACATATACACACACACCCACAGCATACGCACACATGCAACTTTCACAATTCATAGCACGCGCGACGCCATCTGGTAACTCAACCACTAAAGTTTCTATATTTACCTCTTCCATGTTCTTAGACTCCCAAGCTTTACTCATTATCGACGAGCCTCGAGAGTCATGTACACCTCTTTTCATACTGAAAAAAATAAAGATATATTTTGAGTCAGTAACCTGTTCTATGTGGTGTTCGAGATCCTATCCTACCCTTTTCGATAAATAAGTGAGGAATAAATAAGTGAGGCCCCACAAAATATATATCTATTTTGTTTTAAGTACATCGAATGTATATACACTACTTCCTCTCTTTTTTTAATTTATTATTTATATGCTAGCATCATATTTAAGAGATAAATTAAATAAAAATAATAATAAATAATAATAATAAATATGATATAAATACGTAGCTAATAATAAGAAATACTCTATAGACAATATAAAATATTAAATTTGAAATATAAAAGTAAGAAAATAATTTAAAAAATATACGTAAAAAGATAAATATTGATTAATAAAAAAAAACTATACTATATTATTAACTTTGGTAAAAAAATTGCATAAAATATGAAAAAAAATTTAACATAAAAAAATAATATATAAAATAAACGTTAATAAATTTAAAAAGATAAATATAAATATATATTTCTTAAATTTATAAAATTTAAAAAATACAATTACATTTATAAAATTTAGAAATAATACAAAATTTAACGAATAAATAGAAATGTAAGTATACAATAATAAAAAATATTTTTATATAGAGAAAGAACAATTTATTTTAAAAGTATTATAAATATACTTATACATATATGCAATTACAATTATGTTAAATATAATGTTCATTTATTTTTAGAATAACAAATAATAATTTTCAAAGAAAATAATGTTTTTTTAAATTTTCAATATTCTAAATTTATAATAAAAAATCTATATAAATATTTATACAAATTAACTATTCTTCAAAGAGAAAATAACTCTTCGTTTTTAGTTCATTTTATTTCCTTCTATTAATCACTGAACACTAAACTATTCATTAATCAATATTCAATATTCACTCAATACTGAACACTTTTATTTATTTTCTTTAACACGCCTTAACAGAATAAACTCCTTACGATTTCATTTCTATGGCTACAGTTTACTTAGCGCTACAAAAGTTTCGAAACGTTTGATTAACCAATCAGAACAAAAAATTTTATGAATTGACCAATCAAAAAATGCTTCGAAGCATTTGTAGCATCAAGTGGACTGCACTCATAGATCTTATATATATGGACTGATAATACAGATATGATTATGTCCATGGGAGGTTGGAGAGAGAAAGTCTCTTTTTTTTAAAAGTGTTCGGAAATCGTTTTGCGCATGCTTGACATATACTATACATTAATGCATTCTTAATGCATTGGTGTATACTCGTATGCAAGTTAAAGGAATGTTTGAGATTATTTGTACGTTAATCGTATTTGCGGAATATTACATCATATTTCTAAAAAAAAATAATGGTTCGAATATTAGGTTCGCGTTGCTTAGAATTTTCAATATTTAAAGCAGGATAGATATATTTGTGAACGATGGAAAAAGAAAGAATAAGAAGCTTAAGTAAAATAAATATAAACAACACGATCGCCTATTTATAAAAAACTATTTATTATTAGTCTCAAAACAATTTTTTGTTAACATATTATTGTTTAAAATAATTATTAAATTATTAAATAATTATTAAATATCTATCATATTTTTCTGAGAACTCGCATTTTTAAAAGAAAAATTATTCTTTTAGATTTTTTTATTATTTAAAAAACAAGTGTATTGTGTGTCATGTATATAAAATAAAACAAAATTGGAAACGACATTAAAACCAAAATTTAAATATGCAGCAAGTATACCATGCATGATTCATTAAATATTGTAATTTTTATTTTACTCTATTTTTTTATTATTTTACATTACGGTAAAAATAAAAACTTTGATATAGAATTACATATCGTTTATTTTAAAACTCTTTCCACAAATTAATCTGAAAGTTTTATCCTGATATGTTTTTTCACTTTTTTTATATATTTTTTATTTTATTGCATTTTATATGTTCGACTATGAAGTCTTTTATTCTTTACTACAACATATATTGTTTTCGATTATATTATTATATTAATCCGTCATATGCTTCGAACTCATGCACAATATATATTTCCGACCATCTTAAGAGAAAGAAGTACCAAAAAATATGTCTCTCTGTCTAACCTCCCGGACACTGTTTGTTATGCAGAAACTAGCCAGTCCATATCTATAAGGTCTATGACTGCATCCTATATGTCAAATGTTTGTTCCCGCCAGTTTGTCAAACATTTAAAAGACAGAGAACGCTATAGAAAAACCCGAGAAGAAATGTGACAGAAAATTAGTTACGTGATTGGTTACTTACTTAGCTCGCACATGTGCAGTTCAATTTTGTACACATTAAAATTGGGAGAGTTACGCTACTGTATATACTGTATATACTGTGGCAGTACTTTCATAGTGCACTGCTCTCTATATCGGGACGCTATTCGTAATACTGATAGTACTCGGAGTGAATAAAGGAACGCACCCCGGAACAGCATTCGCAGTGCTGCCAGTACTTACAGTGAATATCGGAATGCAACCATAGACATTGGGTGCAGCCAGAAGCGCAACCGTGCAGTGAACAGCTCAGTGATTCTTCATTATGATTGGTTTCTATACTTAGATTTAACGAAGATCTAAGGACAAGGACCAATTATATCGAAAACTCACTGCGCGGTTATGCTTTTGGATGCATCCATTTATACTATACACTAGATCGCTAACTCCTCTATTTATTGAACTTGAAAGTTGACCTCAAAACTTACGTATTACATAAGTGTCGGTCCACAATAAGTATTTAATCTTTAAGCCGTAAGAAATTGACCAATCATAGTCGATTATTTTTTTCATATTCGATTATAATTGGTAGATTATAATTTCTTACGTCTTAAAGCTTAAATCACCTATTGTGGACCGATACTAAGGTGACGTAGGAACAAATGATGTTACATGTCACGTAGTCACGTGGTCATACGAATGCAATATGGCTGATGCACTACAAGCATAGACATTTTTATTAAAGATCTTAAATATCTCTATTCTTCAATTCTGCTTTAAAAATTTTTTCATTATGCATTAAATAAATTTCTTTACCTAAATCTGATTTTATATATATATATATATCTATTTCGCATCGACTAAATACTTTGTAATTATATATATATATATATATATATATATATATATATATATATATATATAATAAGTAA